TTTTTTTTTTTTTCTTTGCTTTTAAAGAGGGTCGTTTGGAATAAAGACAGTTGTAATCCAAAAGTTCTGTCCTTGTGTAGTGGTGTCTCACACTTTAGACGGTATTTCCAGGGTTTTTCCATCCACTATTCCTTTTATTTTCGTGGACGGGTCGATTCTCTTCAGCATCGCTCAACCTCTTTGTACATTATTCAAGCAGCTGCTCCTTTTCTTCCGTTCACAGACATTGATCTGATTCTCAGAGTGTCCAGAGTCTGAAAATGGTAGTTGACTACCGCATTGGGAATAAGATCAAGTTTTCACGTACAGTTGCCATTTGAAAAACCCCTTATCCATGGTTTCTACTCTACCACGTTACAGGTAATCCAGTGTGACGCCACAGTGAGAAGCCCCAGAAGATACAGTGCGTGTCAGTAGAGAATCCCACGACAGCTTGGCATGTCTTTTCCACCAGAGCAGGTATCCTAAAGTTCAAAGGTGGCCATCGATTTGGAAAGTGCTGATGATGGCGGGCCTTCATCCAGTGTTATATGACAGTCTTAGTGCAGTGTCGCTCGCTAGACCTCTATATAGACCGAGTCCTGTTGCCGCTTTGTTTCGTTACCCAGGTTGACCTTCTCAGTGCGGGTATGCCAGACCAGGACCTGAAAGAAACCATTTGAAATCAGGTATTTTAGAATACAGGAACCAAGCACGTATTAAGCACATGTATATTGTATGTACCAAGGCAGTTTACCTACATTACTATAAATGGGACTGCCCATGAAACACTTTACCAACCTCAAATAAATGCTTTTTAATGCTCTTTGAGCCAAAGAAACAACATAAATGGGTTCCGTTCATGTCATTTAAAAGTGCATTTGACAAGCCGTTTGTAAGATTTCTTTATTTCCCCATTCAAGTAAGATTAGTATTGGTCTTGAATCCCTGAAAGAGCTTTCTGGAAGGGTTGCAAATATGGCCGCCAAATGACTTTCCTTGACAGGGATTTTGAAAGAAATGACACGTACATAAGGTACATCATAACAGAAAATAAGGTCATTGTGTGTGATCTCTCAGCAGAGATGTTTTAGGCTGTTGGTGCGTGAAGGTTGCTGGAATGGGATCTCTCGGACTGGTTACGTCTTAATTATATCAGATAGAGGCTGTGCCGGGAACGAGCACAGTTAAATTGCCGCACCCAGGTGTGACGCATCATTTCCTGAACACATGGCACTGCAGATTGGCTTGTTTTGTAAAACAAGGCTAATTTAGCAGAACCATAAGAGATAAATAAGGTGCACTGTGGAGCGGCAACCCAGAAAGTAACCAAAGTGTCCTGTGACCTGATAACAAGATGTATCCCTCTGGTAGATCCTGTAATACTTTTTATGAAGGGGTCTGACACTTTACTTTGCTGTCTACTAACCCCGTTGTTCCCTTGATAAATATTCTAGGGGTGGGCGATATACCTGAAGACACGATTAACTGGTAGAGTCTTAGGACTATCATCTCTATTGCGGTTACACGCTCATGTGACATTGCTCTGCTACGTGGTCACAAAAACATCGCTTGCACGCATTTTCAAGCATTGTGGTTTAAAAACAAGTAATTTTAAGCCGTTGAAATGCAGTCAGCAGTGAATATGTGTGTGCTGTCTGAGAGACTGTTTCTGAGCGCTGTCAGAGGCACGTGAAGATGGTGCTCTTAGAGCACGGGAGTATTGAACGGAGTTATTTTTGCCGCTTTGAAAGGATAAATACACACATTTGTATGTGTCAAAATGCCCGTCTTTGCAAGTATCCTCATAAACAGTAATTTAGTTCTTAAGTGAAAGCAAACAGCTGAGAAAGAAAGCACATGTGTAGCAGTATATTGGATCCGGGCAGCTCTTAAAGTGACAGCAGTCTAATATTCCTGCTCTCTGTCATTCACGTTAAACAAACAACAACAAAAAGAGAAAATCTCTCACTGCTCTTGACTAAATGACTTTTGTAACTTTAATAAGAAGAAATGCATATTTAATTTACACAGTGAAGAATATGCAGTGTTTTATTCATTTGATTACTTTATAATGTATGTAGCATTTCTTATTTATTTGTTCTACTGTAGTGTTTTGTCCTATTGCTTGTAATTAGTTTCTTATTCTTATTTAATCACTAACTGTTGTCTTCAGTGAGCTTACGTTTTTTTATTATTTTTTTTATTTAGGCTAGTAGCTATTAGTTTTTTATGATGTTGACACATGTCCTATTGCTTGTAATTAGTTTCTTATTCTTATTTAATCACTAACTGTTGTCTTCAGTGAGCTTACTTTTTTTATTTTTTTTTTTATTTAGGCTAGTAGCTATTAGTTTTTTATGATGTTGACACTGGTGACAAGAATTATGAAATTTCTATGGTTTCAAAACTTTTGATATCATAAGTCTGAAGGTCTGAGATGGACTAAATTGAGAACTTCCTGAACTGAATTGTAATTGGTTTGTGGGTGGTTAAACTTCATTAGTTGTGTTTGTGTGCGGCTGTCGAAGACATTTGCAGCCCACAGTGATGTCTAATTTTTATAGGAGGAAAGTAATAATACATGAAGAATTAAACTTGTGCGCTTCTGCTTTCATATGTAATAAATCTTTTCATTTTTAATGTCGATAATGTAATGGCTACAAATCAGTGCGCAAAGGTTGAAAGCAGTGATATAACAGCATTGTGGAGGTGTGAAACCAGCAGTCCCCATGGGCTCTAGTAATTGTAAATGAGTTTCAAGAAAAAGTTATTAATATTTAAACCCTTCATACTTTTTGGACTAATCTTGGAGCAGTCTTAGTCTTTGCATGTGCATCTATTAGAATATTGTAAGACAAGTGTGCTGGAGATGTCATTGCCATTATTGCAATGTGTGTCGTACTCTTGTTAAATACTCGGATAGACAGATTTCAATTTGTACAGAGTGAAACCCCACTTCCAGCGATCCAGGAATAAGAGAAGGCACTCTGTCCTTCTGCTCCTCTAGATCCTATCTCCCCTCTTCAATACCTTGTTTTGGCTTCTAAAAATAGAAATAGAAAATTTGACCATTTTAGCTTCAGTAATATCAAGTAATGTGTCATTTACAAGGCATTAACATTTTCTTGGTTTAGACTCATTGATATTAGTTAAGGCATTCGGTACACTACCATTCAAAACTTTGGAGCCAGTAAGATTTTTTTTCTTTTTTTGCTCATTAATTTATTCAGCAAGAACACATTAAACTGATCAAAAATTAGAGTAAAGACATAATATTACACAAGATTTCAAAATGAACTTTCTAGTCATCAAATAATAATGAAAAAAATTAAATTTGAATAATATGAAGATGAAATTTCCACAAATATATTAAGCAACACAACTGTTTTCATTGGTAATAAAAAAAAATGTTTTTGAGCAGAAAACCGGCATATTAGAATGATTTCTGAAGGATCATGTGTCACTGAAAACGAGTAATGGCTGCTAAAAATTCAGCTTCACCATCAAAAAAATTACATTTAAAAATGTTGAAATAGAACAGTTATTTTAAATTATAATAATATTTGACAATATTACTGTTTTTATGGATTTTTTATCAAATAAATGCAGTCTTACAAAAAAATATTTAAAAATCCTCCCGAACTTTTGTATGGTAGCGTATGAGCTAACAATGAACAATTTTTCTATTCTCTTTCTATTTATTCATTCTATATAATTCATATAAATTCATACCATGATTAAAAATGCATTAGTGTATGTAGAAATTAATATTAACAAAGGTTATTAAATGCTTTTAAAGTATTGTTCATTGTTAATGTTAGCTATTGCATTAAGTGTTAAGTGTTACCAATAAACACACCTTAAAGTGATTTTCTACAAATAGGATAGAATCTTGCATGACATCAAAACTAACTGTTATAGCCTATAATTTTTCAAGTATTTTAGCTCTTAATAAATGTGTATTACTCTTAGTTCCATTGCGAAAAAATATGAAAAATGTCTGGATTCCATTTGGGCTGTCCCGTATGAAACGATTTTCTCAAACAATGTTTGTGTTGAAGATTTTTCCGAGGGTTTCTTTCGAATCTAAACAGGATGAGCATCTGAAGCCTTGAGAGAGAATAATAATTTGAGCAATTGTGTTGTGCAGAGTGAAGCATGCTGGCAGGATCTGGTCTGCAGGAGCACGATTGACATTAATAAATAGGAGAGTCTATGCACTGACTTCTGTAAATAAGCCTGTGAATCTCTCTCACACACCATCTTCACCTCTCCATCTATATGGCATGTTTGCCATCCCTCTGCCAATCGCAAACACATTCCCTTTGCCCTCTTCTTCTTCCTCGCTCCCTCTGTCCCTTTCCTCCTTGTCACATCAGTTCAGTCTGATTACTCTCATAAGATGACCCACCCAAGCCTCCCTGTGCTTCATTTGAAGTGCATGCTGGGAGTTAGCCATATCTCCCTGCCTGCAGGCTTAGTCACAGTCATCAGCTGGGACCCTCAAGAACGCTTCTACAAATGTGACCTTTCCGAAAGACGTCGCTGGCAGTGCTCCACTTTGGACAGACGCCCGCTCACACCCATCACGAAGACCCATAACTGTTGGCACAAGCACTTCCTTTTGTTTACTTCCATAATGCCATCCTCATATAATTGGACTGCAGCCACAAATGTAAGTATATTAAACTCCCACTTTGTCCGAGTAGCGACTCGCACTTCTTCGTAACTGTCAGTGGCCTTTCTACTCTGTTTACGGGTGCGATATCTACACGCTTGCATTGCATTGTACCACAGGAACAAACCTGCACTCTCCGCTCTCTGTTTACAATGCGCACATTATGCTGTGTCTGA